GAATATCTTCCTGTCAGCAAGACTCTATTCTATCCTCACATTTGAAACATGATTTGAGCACAAAACTATAGGTTCATTAATCATCATTTTCCATTAAAAATTTTTTTCCCACAATTTTGAACACACATCAAGAGCTGATTTTAAATAACAGTGCTGTCTCGATTTCTGTATATCCTGGGTGGGAAGATTTTTGTCCTGACATTCTGAACTTGTGCAGTGTCTTGGCTCACTGGGATTTTTGGTACTCTGGCTCTACATTACTGGGCCTTTCTAAGCTCCTGGTAGTAGTTCGGAAACAGTTGCTCCAGGTCAATAATTGTTTCTTTCCTGGCAGTTTTCTTCCTTCAGTATTGGGCCAGCTAGATGGCTGCCTTCCTTGTCACCCTGTTGGCTGACTTCAGTCATGTTACTCCAGGAGACATTCCTGTTTTTTTTCTTCAAACCTTATTTTGAATCTTTTGTCTGAAGGATATATTTAATTCCTGAAGTCAATTTTTGCCTTTTTATGTTTTTAACACCATTTGGTTTTATTTTAAGGTTTCAGTAGCTCCACTGATTCCTCTGGACAATTTTCTAGATCTTTTGAAGTTGTCTTCAAATATCTTTTGAATATCTGGCCTTCCATGGGCCTGTTTTCTTCTTTGTGATTATCGGAGCCCTGGCTTTCAAGTCAGAGGCTAAGATCAGCAGTTCCTTGGCACTTTAAAGATGTTCGCAAGGATCAAATCAATCAGGTATCTTGGTGTATGAAGGCCTTATGCATGTACAAATGAAATCATATGCTGAGCCAGCTTTCTCGAAATTGAAATCCTTAACTTTAGCAGATGACCCTCTAAAACAGTTTCTTCCCAGGATGGGACAGTTTCCTCCAAAAGACGAAAAATTCCTTCCTGTTTGTTGTGTCTGATATCCCACATCTTGGCTTTAGGCATACTCAACCATGAACAAATAAAGTCCCACAGCTATATGGTTGCCCTTGACCTACTGTCTTCAGCCTTCAGAATCCCTGGGTGTTTGTCAGGGTCTTTCACTGCGGTAGGATGGAGTCCCGAGCCCACCATAACTGTGTTAGGAGTTTTTCAGACCAAGTGTTTTCCATTCCTTTCTTTCTTCTAGGACCTGCCTTTCTGGGATATGGTGCCAAGCAAATGCTCTCAACTTTTCCCCAGGACCCTGTCGAGACACCTAGCCTGTATTTCTGTTAGGTTAGTTAGAGCCCACTCATCTGTCGTGATAATATATTAATTGTCAAGTTGACAGGATCTAGAATCATCTAGAGGACAAACCTCTAGGCTCGTCTGCAGGGTAGTTTTTAAGTTGTGTGAACTGAGGTGGGAAGGCCAACCTTCATATGGGAACCTTCATACCACTCCATGGCGTCCTTAGGGTCTGGGGAACCGAGAATAGGAGAGCACAGGTGGAAGAGCAGCCTTCATCGCTGTCTCCTGGATGCACAGGCGGTGCGCCCAGCTGCCTCGAGTACCTGCTCTTAGACCTGCCTCAAACCATAAGCCAAAGAAATCCTTCTCTTCTCTCCTCAGGTCACTTTTGGCTGGTATTTTGTCATGACAAGACAAACAACAAAAACACGACTTTGTATCTCCCTTTCTATATCTGTCTTTTTTATTATTAAATTCCCATTTTAAGGGGTTAGAGAATGAAATGATGTACCAAAGAGGCCATGCTATCATTTTGAACCAAAAGTAACATTTGGGTCTTTGTGAAAAACACTTCTTACAAGTAATGGCAGAGAAGTTTCTTAACCGTGTCTTGTGTATAAACTTCAGAGCCCATTGTGCAGAAAATGCTGAATTCTGTCTCAAGCAAGTACAATCTGTTAACTGCTTTATATGCTGAAATTAATCAGGAATCATTTGACTTATCACATCCTCTGCTTTATAAATAGAGATTGAGAACAAATTTGTCAGTTGTGCCAGACTTATTCTCATAGCTGTTGTGATTGTAGGCTCTGAAATGCAGTTCTCACCCTGAAGAGCCGCTTCAGAAGACAGAATGAAAGCAGAAAGTTAATTAAGAGTATTTGTGACATGGGGTTCAGCTCTGTTCTATTTGTGAGGGAAATGTGTTTCTTATTCTAGAAAAGAGGAGGCTGAGGTGTGTGAAGGAAGCCTCTGTCTACTTCTTTACCTGCAGAGCTGCTCAAATAGCACTTTCTTTTCATCCATTTCCGTTTTTATTTTGGGGAGAGTTGGGGTTTTTGTTGTTGTTGTTTTTGTTTTTGTCACAGAAGGGGAGACCAGGTTTGTCTTACTGTTCATACGGTTATTGGGATGGGCCCTGGTTCTCCCTGTTAGATGCTGTGTATGTTAGTAGAACCCCACTATTCTTCAGAGGAACATAATCATCCTGCGGTAAGCTGTGCTAGCCAGCATGGACATCTCAAGGTGCTGGTTCCTCTGAGTTCATGAGATTCTCATAAGTGGGGGTTATGATGAGTTCCGGGTTCTACTCTCCGCCTGCACTCTTCACCAGAAATGCTTTGGCCTCAAAGGCAGGCAGACATAATAGGCCAGTAAGATACAACCTATGAGTCCACGCTACAATGTACACGTAAGTCCCAGGGGACATTTTCATTGTCTTTGTTTATAGTCCTTAAACCCCACATTCTCAGGATGTGTGTGAAGAGAGGTAGAATGTAACAAGATATACCCTAAACCCACATGGAGCATTGAGGGTGGGAGGTATGAGAAATAATAGAATTCTTCTGTTATTTTTAACAAAAAGAAAAATGGCTGTCACTGTTACTGGAACAGACTTTCACATTTAAATGAAGCATGAAATTTCAGGGTATTCATTATTTTTACCTCTATTTCTATTAAAATAATAATTTAATAAAAATATAGAGCCTAGTGATTATTGTCCCATCATTTAGGAAACAGAGGCAGGAGAATTACGAGTTGAAACTAGTCTGGGCTGGAGAGCTAGTTTTAGGTAAGCCTAGGTTTAGATGGTGAGTCCTTGCCTCAAAAAGCCAAAGTATTATTCACATAGTATATGTGTGTGTGTGTGTGTGTGTCTGTGTGTGTGTGTCTGTCTGTGTCTGTGTGTGTGCGTGCATACACAGACATTCAAAATGAATTAAGAAAGTTAGGAAGTATTAAATATGCTGTCACTGTTTCTTTTTCGACATGGATTAGGAAAATACTGGGAACCTGAATCAAATAAGTAATTTGTTCTGAGCAAATTTCCATTTCTTTGATTTATTTAGCCTCTTATCAACACATTCTTATAGAAAACATTGCAGCCTGCATTGAGAAATGGCTGCTACTTGGGACTGTTCTGGTAGCATAGGATTTTCTACATGAAAATAGAATTCGCAATAATAGGAAATTGATTTTAAAGCGCGCGCACACACACACACACACACACACACACACACATCAAAAGAACACAGTGAATTCCGTGCTGCACTGTACATGTAGTTTTAAACAACGAATGCTCAGATCCCTTCTTCCAAAGCCATCTTGTCATATACTTCACTTGGGGTCCTTAGAGGCATAAGCATTTCCATGGTAGAGAGAAAGTATTTCTCACCGTACAAAATCCTGACCCACAGTGACAGGAAATAACTTCCTTCAACAACAACAACAAAAGTTTTGTTTCAGAGCTTTGGAGAAATTTAGTAAACATGGTCCCATCTTCCTGTTTGGGGCAGATTTATCCATTTTGTCCTTCTCGTGTGGCTCACACTTTCTGTGTCCTATCTGAAAATGCCTCATTCAGCCTAAATCCTGGAAATGTGCTTTCTTTCTCTCTCTCTCTCTCTCTCTATGTCTCTCTCTCTCTCTCGTCTCATAAAACGTCTCTGTCTTTCTGTTTTCCGATTGAGTCTTGTACAAAATTAACTCTGAGTTAATTTGGGTGTGAGGTACTGGGGTCTCCCTGGTTAGACCTGTGGAATGCAGGGGTTGTCTGCACTCTGTCCCACCAGTGAATTCTCTCTGCCCTTTTGACACAGGTGAATTGGCTGGACCGCTGTGGGGTGATTTCTGTGTCCTTTACTCTGTTCCAGTGATCTGAGTATCTGTTTTGATATGCCTGAGTATACAGGAAGTTCTGAAATCTAGTAGAGTGACTCCAACCTTCACCCTTCTTTTCAGAATTGTTTCGGCTCTTTCATCTTTTTCTCTTTTCCATGTAAATTGTAAATAATATTCATAAAGAAATGAGGGGAGAAATTTGCTGGCTGCTCATCTGTCTTCTCATTCATTTAATGTACTTTTGTGACATTTTTGAACTATTTTTTGAATGGACACAAATGAACTTCATTGTGATATCTTTATGTATCATCGCGCTTTGTGTTTATCTCCCATTACCTGCCCTTGCCACCCTCCTCCTTTGCCGGGGTCCCTTCCTGCCTGTAAATAGTTCCCTTCCTACTTCTAAGTAGGTAAAGAGGTGGCCAAGTCGATATGGTTATGTAGATGTATTGCGGGGTAGATGTCTCAGTCAGTGGAGAGCTGGCCATGAAAGCCCGGGAACTAAGTTTTTCTGGATGGCTAACTAAAACTCCAGTGTGTATGTTATGCCACATTCTCTTTGTCCATTCATCTGCTGGTGGGAATCTAGACTGGTTCCATATCATTAGCCTACTTTTCTAATAATAGCTTATTCTTCATTGTTTAACTTGTCTGACAAGTATACATAGAAAACCTTGAGAAATCTACAAAACTTCCTACGTGTCTGCAGCTTACAAGTGGTTTCAGCAGCTATAAGAAGAGAAGATGGACACTAAAAATGTAATTGCACTTGTAATACTTTAAAAAATAAACTCCCTAAATGCCAATATAATGAAAATTTTTAGACATGCTGAAAAGGAGAAAACACCAAGAGAGAGAAAAAAATCACATTAGGGACTGCAAGGCAGCGTAGCAAACAAGAGAATTCTCTTCAGGCAGCTAGCAAATTTAATGTAGTGCCCCCCAAGCTTCTAGATGGATTCATTTGTAAGTAATGGATCTCATTTTGGTGTGTTTCAGCTTACAAGAAAACCTTAAGCTTACATGGTTTTTGCAGCTGATGGGTTTGACCAGGTAAGTCATTTTCCCCACAAGGTGCTTTGAATTTCTTTTTTGTTAAAAAATAACTTCTCTGCTGTAAAAATTCCTGCACAACTTCTGTGAGTCAGGTTATCCTCAGAGTGCTTCCAGCCTCTCTGTCGCCTCCCCAGCTGCCTTCGAGGGCAATGTTCTTGTTCTCATGTGACAGCTGGCAAACGCAAAGCACCCAGAGGATTTCTTAGGTCAAGGTCACAGAGAGAAGATACAAAACGGGAGTCAGACTTGGTCAAGAAGGCCTCGCTCTTCTGTGGTTCGTTGTTCCATGACCTTCTGCAGTCACTAGAGAATACTGGGGTCCAGGCATGGTCAGGGAAGGCCAACATCTGCTGTGGGTCATTGTTCCATGACCTTCCACACATGACTAGAAAATACCAGGGCCCAGGCATGGTCAGCGAAGACAAACATCTGCTGTGATTCATTGTTCTATGACCTTCTTCAGTCACTAGAGAATGCCGGAGCCCAGACGTGGTCAGCGAAGGCCAACATCTGCTGTGGTTCATTGTACCATGACCTTCCACACATCACTAGAGACGTTGGGGCCATTTTTGCTTTTATATGAGTTACTTCCCAGAGGAAACTTGTCTCTGAAAAAATCATTGCAATCTTTATATCCCTTCATTCTTTACTGCTCTGTCTGGCACTGTTTGGCACATTCATAGTCTGGCTGGAGAGCTAAACCAAAGATATCAAATGGTCCTAACATAAGGGAACATTTGATAAATGCTTTTCAGGAGGAAAAAAAAATCATATACACCTTCTTTTATTTATTTATTTTTAGAAAGGAGCTCTTCCCATCAGTCAGAGAGGAATGACTAGAGAAGTGTCTGTCTTTTTCCCTGTGCATGAAAAAACAGAAGACACAGACTTTGGAATGACACATCATTTTTTTTTTTTTTTTTATGCTGTGAAGTAGGTCACTTTTTGTGCTGTTTATCATATTGTTTGAAAAAGCTGGCATGGAAAAATGAGAAGCCAGGAATTGATAGTTCTTTGTCCACAGACTGGAAATGGACCAAGAAACTCTCTGAAACAGACAGTAACCTTTTTTTTTTTACAGTAACTTTCTTACATATTGTTCTTTTCATTATCTTCCTGGAATAAATTTCATTTTCTGCCTGACTGTGGCTTCATAAAGAAAGGGAGTAATTGACCCTCACGGTGTGCAGGCTTCATCTACTAAAATGTTTTTTCAAATATGCTTGTAAGTATAAGAAGTCTCAACCTCCTTGCTTCCAAAAGATAACACTCAGAGTAATACAGAATACTTTAGTATAAATCAAACAGAGACGCGTATAAAAGACACCCTCTGTCTTCAAAGATTTTCCACAAAAGGGAAAAATACAATACTTTCCCTTTAGTAGTCAATTAAAAAAGAAGAAGAATTCCACTGAAGAGTTGGATGGGGGAAAATTATGCACCCAGTGTGTTCCCTGGAGGTCAGGATGCAGCACACCTCAGTTCTGAGTCTGGGGCCTCCTGCCTCAGTGCACTAGATCCTGACTGGAGGTTTTAATGGCTTGGTTTCTGGCCTGTGCTTGTTGGCTACATGTTTCCTAATGCATTGCGGATAGCATGAGCTCCGCTGTAAGCTGAGGTGTTACAGGTAAATGTAACACCGCATCTTAACACTGTTAAGCTTGATGGCATCAGTTCTTAATGGAATTAGAGACTGTAAGGGACCTCCAGGCTGCAGCCACCTGCTTCCTGGCCCAAGCACACCTAAGGAACTCTCCCCTGAATGTCTCCATGCTCAGCCATTAACTCCTATCAGGTAGCTTCAGAATCAGCACCACCCAGAGCATCACACACAGGCATACCTAAACACATTTGCTCCCAGGCCTGGAGTCTGGGTCCATCTAGATGTAAGACATCAGCCCAGCACAGATGGGCAACTACTAAAACAGCTGGAGACGACAGGCCAGCCTTCTGCATATTTATCTCCTTCGCTCTTTCATCCAGCCTACTTCCTTTATCTCCTTTGCTTTAGGTATCTTTTTCTTATGGACATCATCACACACATTTTCTTGCCATATTTTTTAGTGTATTACACAACAATTATGCTTTTTCATGCTTATTTCTTACCATACTTTATCTTTAGACTTCTGTAGACTTCTGTCTTATGTTTTGTTATTTTGTTTTTGTTTTTTGTTTTTTCACACTCTGAGAACAGTAAATTTATCCTAGGCAGTGAGAAGTTTCAGAGGCCTAGAATATACCTGAAGGGAACTTACCATTCATCGCATCCCCATTACAGGAATCCCATCTAAAATTTCTAGCCTCCTCTACACCCTTTCTCTGGGATAAAGGGCCCGTTTTATTGCAGAATAATTCGTTCTAGATCTGAATTATTTTAATTGTTCAATTTTTTTTTTTTTTTTTTTTATTCTTTGAATCTGGAAGCAGCCTTTACCTGATAGCATTATCCACAGTTCATTAACAACATTGTGGGCGTTTTGCAACCACCACAATCAGCAGAGTAATGATCGGTGGAGGCAAGAAGGTAATTTGGCTCAGCACTACTCAGTAGCTGGTGTTTGTTTAACTTTGGGAGTCTGTCCCCAAGTAGTTTATTTGGGCATATTTAAGCATAGCACAATTTGGTGAAATTTTTCGTGGTGATAATGAAATCAGTCCCGCGTGCACACTAACACTAAAGCTCAAGATGTGACTACATCGACTCTCTTGGTAAAGAGCATGTGACATTTCCCATAAAGATGGATTCTATAGATTGACTGGCTCAGGATAAGGATCTAGAGGGAGGATCCGAGATGGTCTCAGCCGTACAGATAGCACAAAGGTCACCAGACTATTAACCATGTCCTCTCCCAGCCTTCTGGGCAGAAAACAATTTATACATTCCTCCCTCTGAAGGGACATCCCCATGGATTCCCGGAGTGCTTATCTGTGAGCACAAGGACCCATGCACCTGCCACAGCAACAGAAGCCAAAATGTGTAGCTCCCAACACCATCCTCCATTGAGAGGAAGGAGCCTAAGGTAGAGACTGATGATGACTCGAGGTCACACAGTGATCAGTGGTAATTCCCAAGTCAAACACTGAATCCCCTCATGCACACAGCCATCCCAGCCACTTCTTGGGGGCGTGGACCACACTTATACAAGAGTCCAGCCCGGACTCTCACCTTGTCAACTCTTTAATTATGTACTCTGTTTCCTAAAATGTGTGAGGGTGCCAGGGGCGCAAGGGGTTGCACCTGTCCCTTTCACGTGAGTGTCTCTAGCAGGTGCCGGCAGCACTTGCTCAGGGATCACGCTGCTGAGTAGCTATGAGCTCTCAGGGGTCACACTGCTGAGTAGCTATGAGCTCTCAGCCCTTTTTGCCCAGGGTTTCAGATTCCCCACTGTTCTGTAGGTAAAATTCTCATTCAGACCATTGGGTTTTGGCAGGAGATGTCAAGCAGATGGAGAACCAAAACTTGCAGTGCCTGCTAGGCCTTGCCTCTATAGTAGTTCACTCTGCGCTAGGGTAACCGATGGCTCCGCCGCATCTAGGGACATTCCTACAGCTTTTCATCCAGCCTGCAGCCCTTGCTCGTGCTCCTGCCCTGTGCTGCTTTGGTGCTCTGAGGGACGGCACATACGCACACTGCCCTTTCTGTGAGTTCCTCCGGAACTGTCTCCCTGATGTCACACAACAGTTAAGAAACGTCCTATTCAGTCTTCTGGCACCTATGACTCTCTGCCCCTCTATGTTGAGTTTGCAGCTCATTTTTTATGCCCCCACTTTCAGCATGGAGGCCAAAGTCTCTTTGACAGCCTGTGTGGTTTTCTTTCCACTGTATTCTTCCCATCGGCATGTACATACCTCACTTCTGCCATCTTGGAGTAAATAACTTCTCCCACCTCTAGCAGTCCCTTTATCTTCAAGCCCAAGAAACGTTCCTTCACTATTCCACTCCCTGCTGAAGGTCCCCAGGCTCCCATGTGTCTTTATCACAGTTCTTCCAGTGGGTGTTGACAGCACTTTCTACCATGCCAAATCCAAGCTCTCTTTTTCTACTCAACATCTATTCCTGTCACAGCCTATACTATATTTATTTGTGCCGTCCATGTAAGCTCCAGATGTCATTCATGTTTTTTTTTTCTCCTGCCTGCCATGTAGCAGAGAATCAGTAAGTATTTTCTGAATCAACACACCTACTATTGCTGTCTTCTTTCCTTCTACTTCCTCTGTTCTGTAACCCGATTAAATGTGCTCCTCCTGGGACCACATCTCTGAAGGGCGAGCTTGTGAGAAACTGCCTTTCTTGTGGTGAGTGGGTTCCGTGGTCCTTCTGATCCTTGGCTTCCCATGGAACAGCCTAGGAAGATGGGGCTTTCCGACAGTCTGATTTTTATCTGGCCAGGTCATGACTCTGTTATTGTTTCCTATGCTCAGAAGATACTTTAATTTCCTCAGCAGGACACTAGAATATTTATTTTTCATGAAAGGGGATGCTGTGACATTTTGAGTGCGCCATGGAGAAGCTCATCAAAGAGCATGTGTTGTCTCTACCTCATACCGGATTCTTTGGGCTTATGTTTACATTTTATGAATGTAAATCATTCTGGCCACCAAGTTTTCAGGCCACCTCCCTGTTTCCCTCCCTACTTTATCCTGTGGCACAAGCGCTAGCTAGCTCTCTGCCTCCCCCTCCAAACCTCCCCAGCCTCCCTCACTACCACCACCCTTCATGCTGTCTGACCAGACTAGACTGGGACCGCTAAAAAGGCCACTGGCCACATTCTGTCCTCCATTCCTTCCTTGTGGCTGATGTCAGTGACCATTGTTCCCATAGTTTCCCAGAGCAGCACGGGGGCCAGGCTTGAATCTAGCTAGACCTAAAGTGTGCAGAAAGCATAGAAGTACAACAATTCAAGTGTGCTCCCCAAACCTCTGGGTCTCCATTTCCTCATCCAGGTGACACCAAGGGTGCATGCTGAGCACAGCTAGACAGTAAGGGCCTGTGTCCT